GATATGTAATAATGCACATGCTACTGCAACTGGGCGAAGGTCTCATCGAGGTCGTCGAGATCAAACCAGATCACGAATTACTGGTGACACTGGACAGGAGCAAAATCCAGACAATAGGCAAAAGGGAGCTGGCGAACTTGTTGTTGGTCCTCCAGGTTTTCAAAGCACCGGAGACGCCAGCGGAGCCAAGGACCTGTTCGCCAAATATTCAGAAGTCCCAGAAAAGGGTAAGATAATTGATACGGCCAAAAGTTTGTGACGTTTACATAAATCCTTTACCCCAGGGAGGTATCCTTTTGCCAAATGGCGAAAGATCATCCTCGATCACAAGATGCCACGAATGATATTCATCCAGAGCAATACATATTTGACTTTGAACAAGGACGATGTCGTGTTGAAGACTTATGAGGCTTCTGCACTCGGATGCGTCCAGTCGTGGGTCGATAGATTTCCCAATACGACGATTGATGATATTTTGGAAGAACTTTGGCAGAAGGATGCCGAACATTTTCAATACGAGGCAATTGTATGATGGAAATTATGTATATGTGAATGTTTGTGTGATTGTAATGATTTTGTTGATGTGAAATATAGAAATGGTTTGTTTGGGAATAGTGAGTGTGTTTCATAATCTAATATATTGTATTACCTAAATTTTTTATTTGATAATACTCCACACGTTAAATAGTATATTGCATTTGCGGCTAAAAAAATTAATTTAACCTAGTAGCACCTTAAGGCAAATTGCTGGGACTTTCCATACCGAAAACTGAGTTTTTAAAAAAAACTTTGCAAAACTTTGAAAAAATTAGATTTTTGAGAGTTTTTGAAAAAAATGACTTTTTTGAAAAATTAGATTTTTGAGAATTTTTGAAATTTGAAAAATTTGGTTTTTGAGAGTTCTTGAAAAAAAATGACTTTTTTGAAAAAATAGGTTTTTGAGAATCTTTGAAAATAGTGACTTTTTTGAAAAATTAGGTTTTTGAGAATTTTTGAAAATAGTGACTTTTTTGAAAAATTAGGTTTTTGAGAATTTTTGAAAAAAAAATGGCTTTTTTGAAATATTAGATTTTTGAGAATGTTCGAAAAAAATTGACTTTTTTAAAAAATTAGGTTTTTGAGAATTTTTGAAAAAAAATTGACTTTTGAAAAATTAAGTTTGTTTTATTTCTTGATTTTTTTTGAAAATTTTTAACATTGTTTTAAGAAATCGCGCTGCATTGCTAATTTGGAGTATAAATATCAAAGCGCGTAAGCGCCGCCTAGTCGTCTTACGTGTAAACATTGGTACGGAACCCATGTAAATGTACACAAAATTTGTACTTATTATAATCTTTATAAAATATCTGATAATACGATGTACATATAAGTCTAATGTTCATTTTTGACCGCCAAAATGGATTTTTTTTTACCTTTGAAAGTTTTTGCATATCTTCACGTTTTAGAAGTTTCTGAACATTTTGGCATACCTCAGAAAAAATGGATCAACCGACTTGAATGATTCAAAAAACATTCGATTCCTATTGATAGCGAGATGTGCTGCTGAGTTTTTGGCAAAGGCATGTCCAACTGTTTTGGATATACGGAGCAAAGAGTGCAGAAAATAAAAATCAAGTTTTTGAGAGAACGGAGCATTCGATTTGAATGATTCAAATAACATTCGATTCCTATTGATAGAGATGTGCTGATTAGTTTTTGGCAAAGGCAGGTCCAACCGTTTTGGAGATACGTAGCTAAATGTGCAAAAAATGCAGTTTTTGAGAGAACTATGCTTACGATTTGAAAGATTCAACAAACTTTCTGCTTGTGTTTACAAAACAATTGCTTTTGAGATTTTTTCTATTTCAATTTTTTTTTACAAAAAAAAATGTTTTGTTGTATATCGAATAATTCAGTTTTCAATTTTAATTCTGGCTAAAGTTCTAAAGCTCACTTATATACTTTTAAATAAATAATTTTAACTTTGTAATTCAGTTTATATAATTCTTATAAATATTAGACAATGTTATTCTTATATTAGACACTATTTGAAAACATTCAATAACCCCCGAACATTATGTTACGGTGCGGGAAGTTCCAGCAATTTGCCTTAAGGCCAATTAATAAAATTAATAAAAATTAATCACAATAACCAAAAATGGTCCCAGAGCTTGACTAAAGCTCTGGGTTGCACTTAAAAGCTCATAATTTTCACATTACATAAAATTATTACATTTTTTTCTAGCTTTTTTTCATTATAGTTACAATCAATATTATTGCCATGTTTAAGCTTAATGTTGAGTTCTGGGACAACCTGTATATATATATATATATATATATATATATTTATATACATTTTTAGTTTGCTCGTCAGTAGAGTTTCTTTTTAATTTTATTTTTAGTGTTGCCCGACAGTAGATTCCATTTGAAATTTTATTTTTAATTTGTTCAACAGTAGAGTCCCTTCCTAATCTCATTTTTAGTTTTCTTGTCAGTAGAGTTTTTTTTGTAATTTTATTTTTAGTTTGATCGTCAGTAGAGTCGCTCATTTGAAATTTTATTTTTAATTTGCTCATCAGTAGAGTCCCTTTTTAATTTTATTTTTAATTTGCTCATCAGTAGAGTCCCTTCCTAATCTCATTTTTAGTTTTCTCGTCAGTAGAGTTTTTTTTGTAATTTTATTTTTAGTTTGATCGTCAGTAGAGTCCATTTGAAATTTTAATTTTAGTTTGGTCATCAGGTGAACCTCTTTGAAATTTTATTTTTAATTTGCTCATCAGTAGAGTCCCTTCCTAATCTCATTTTTAGTTTTCTCGTCAGTAGAGTTTTTTTTGTAATTTCATTTTTAGTTTGCTCGTTAGTAGAGTCGTTTTTTAATTTTATTCTTAATTTAGTCGTCAGTAGAGTCTCTTTGTAATTTTATTTTTAGTTTGGCCGTCTGTAAAGCCTTTTTCTCTTTTCCATACACCACTAGTTTTTTAAATATCTGAAACAGAAAATGATGAACCAACAACGAAATCTTTGCAAAGTATTTTGTTATATTATATACAAAATTGTACATATAACCTTTTTGAATAACAAATTTTTATATACACATTAACATTATTATATTAAAATAGAATATCCTTTACCTTACAACTAAAAATGCAACAAAATTGTTTGAGTATTATCTTCTGTCTATTTACAGAGCAGCATTAACAAGATCGCTCCCGGACACAATGGAATCACCAGCCAGCACAATCCTGGTGCCAGTCTGCTTCTCGACAAAATTGCAAGCAGCCATTTCAGCATAAGTGACTCCTCCGATGACAAAAACAAGAACGGATCTCGGACTCAAAGGTACGATATCATTAACACCGCTTCTCCTGCACACTTCTGCAAACTCTTTAACATCGTACGAATGGTACTTCAGATCTTGTTCAGGAATTTTTGGACTCGTTGCTTTAAAATTGGCTAGGTGTGAACATTTTGTACAGAAGTCTTCTAAGTTTGTAGCTTTTGTAAGGAATTTGACGAGTTGCGTGATTAAGGGTATGTACATGCCGCCGAATACGTAACTTGGACAATTGGGTCTTTAACGTTGACTTCTGTTTCGCTGGGGAGTTGTTTGAGTTTGTTTGCGTTTGCGTGAAACGATGTGTTGGGGAATGAGGCACTTATTGTGGTCAAATTTGGTATGGTAATACTGAATTTGTTGGATGGTTGTAGGAACAAACCGGCTGTCGTCAAGTTTTGGAATATGTGCAAGTGGTCGAAGCCAAAAGCGTGGAAAAACTTTGTGCCTAACGCGGTGTAGTCGTCGAAGGACAAACCAAGGGTGAGGGAGTACAAACACAACATTTTTACAACAGTTTGTTTATGGGTTTCTGTAGACATCAGTTCTTGTATCGTGCTCAAAGCTTGTTTGCGGTTAGTTTGCACCAGCATGCACGTTTCACAAGTTTGTATAAGTTCAAACATACCGCCAAATTGTTGTATTATAGTCTCGCACGCTAAAAGATGATTCGCCAGGTCCCGTTTTTTGGCGGAAACTTCTTGCAGTTTGCTTTCGACAAACTGTTTCATCTCGTTTATGTTAAAAGTCTTGGCATTCGCCTTCTGCATATTCAATGCCTTGGCTTGTCCACACAACTGGGAAAAAATCACCGAAAAGTGTTTAAATTTAATATCGCTATAAATTGTATCCGTGTTACTATTCAAGTGCAACAAGGTGTTATCTTTGCCCTCATCGGTTTCAGCATCAAACTTCAATTTACCGCGTGTAATTTTGTTTACAATTTTATTCACCTGGACGGTACCACATTTTATGTTGAAAACTTCGTTCAACAAACCACTGTACGTTGCTGGTATCAACAAAGTCGACGTATAGTCCTGATCCCGATCCATCACCAAAAAAGCACCAAACTCTGCACTCTTTTTATTTACATCATAGTAATCACAGTACGTGTTGAACATATTCAAAACTTTATTAGAATTTTGTCCAAGCCCCAAAACCAAACCAGGTTTACCCATACTTTGGCACAAAGTCCACAAACTATTACTTATCGAACTCAACAAACAACTATCTTGTTTTATATACAAATTTTTAAACAAACCAGGATATTCTAGACTCAAAATATTATCATCGAGTTGTATCAGTTCCCATTGGAATGAGTGCAGGGTCACGATTCCGTAGAGGCCTTCTTCTTCCAAAAGGGTTTTGAATGTTTGCAGGACTTTAGGGAATATTATGATGTGGAAGTAGGAGTTTAGGGTGAGTTTTTTTAATATGTTCTCGCATATGGAGTTTTCTGTTCGGGAATAGGAGTGGATTTGATCGAGTACTAGTTTGAGGGTTATTAGGTTCGAGGGTATGAAGTATATTGTTTTTAGGTTGTGATGGGGCTCGGATGAGTTGAATTTGAAGACTTTTTCTATGCCTTGCTGTCTGAAAGAAAAAGATAAGATAGAAATAGCTTGCCTAAAAAGTAAAACATTATAATGTGTAAGTGAAAATTTCTGATCATTTTAAACATTTTCGGACAATGAACTACATTTTTGATTAATCTACAACACTTTCACGCAAATCGCAACATTCTTAGATTATTTACAACATTTTCAGACAAACTACAATATTTTAAGACAATCATTTGCGCACTTTCAGATGATTTGCAACATTTTTAGACAATTAATAACACTTTCAGGCAATTTGCAACATTTTTGGACAATTTACAACATTTTTGGTTAATCTACAACACTTTCAAGAAAATCGCAACATTCATGAATGATTTACAACATTTTCGAACAATCTACAACATCATTTTTGGACAATTTACAACATTTTTGAATAAACAGCATTTTCAGATAATTCGCAACATTTTTGGGCAATTTATAACATTTTTGGACAATTTGCAGCACTTTCAGGTAATTTGCAACATTCTTAATTTATTGACAACATTTTCAGAAAATCCACAACGTCAGTTTTGGACAATTTACAACATTTTTTAATGATTTGCAACATTTTGGAACAATCTACGACATCATTTTTGAACAATTTCGAATATTTTTGAATAAACAGCACTTTCGGATGATTTGCAACATTTTTGGACAATTTACAAGTCTTTCAGGCAATCTGCAACATTCTCAAATTATTTACAACATTTTCAGACAATCTTCAACATCATTTTTGGACAATTTACAACATTTTTGGTTAATCTACAACACTTTCAGGCAATATGCAACATTCTTAAATTATTTACAACGTTTTTGGACAATTTACAATATTTTTGAGTAAACAGCACTTTTGAGATTTGCAACAGTTTTGGGCAATTTACAATATTTTTGGACAATTTATAACACTTTCAGACAATTTGCAACATTTTTAAATCAGTTACAACATTTTCAGACAATCTACAACATCATTTTTGGACAATTTACAACATTCTCAAATTATTTAGAATATTTTCAGACAATCCACAACGTCAGTTTTGGACAATTTACAACATTTTTGGACAAACTACAATATTTCAAGACAATCATTTGTGCACTTTCGAAGGATTTGCAACATTTTTAGACAATTTACAAAATTTTTGGGCAATGTACAACATTTTTGAATGAACAGCACTTTCGGATGATTCGAAACAATTTTGGGCAATTTACAACATTTTTGGATAATTTTTAACACTTTCAGGCAAGTTGCAACATTCTTAAATGATTTAATACATTTTCATTTAATCTACAACATCATTTTTGGACAATTTACAACATTTTTGAATAAACAGCCCTTTCGGATGATTCGCAACATTTTGGAACAATTTAAAATAGTTTTGGAAAATTTGCAACATTTTCAGACAATCATTTTTAAGGAAATTGTGACATTTTTGGACAATTCACAACACTTTCAGTAAATTTGTAATTTTTAGTAAGTAAAGTTGTAAATTTTTACTCCAATTTACATGTTTAGACATGCTGTGATATTTTCACACAAAAATTTAAAATCTTCAGACAAATTACAATATTTTAGTAGATCTGCATTTTGGGCAATCTACAGCACTTTCAGATAATCAACATTTTCAGACAATTTGCAACATTTCAGACAGTTTACAAAATTGTTGGGTAAATAGCAAAATGTTTGAACAATTTACAACATTTTCAGACAAACTACAACATCTTCAGACCATCCATAACATTTTCAGACAACTTACAAACTTTTTAGATAATCTACAACATTTTTAAATTATTTTCAACATACACATACAATTTTCAACTTTTACATACGGTTTCTCACAATATTTTCAGACAAGTTGTTAAGAGTGTTAGACGCTTACAGCAACTTTATTGGAAATTGCACTAGAAGTTTCACTTTCATAACAAAAACAAAGAATCTAATGAATAAGAAATCCAATCAATCTTATTTTATAAAATATTTAAATTAAACTAAAAACTCTAATATACTTTAAGAAAATTAAAAAGGGAATAAAATTGTATTATATAATAATTTGAAGTGCAACTTCCAATGATATCGTATTAAATATTTAAAAACCAAAAGTAAAACTGCCATTGATATTTATTTATCTAATATCATTAATTTTTTGTCAATATGTTGAATTTTAGATATTTTAGATATTTAAAATAAGTTAAATTTTAGATATTGTATAAATTTGTGATTAAAAATTTTATAAATATTTCAAATAGTGATATAAATGTTCTAATTTGATGGTAAATGATTTTCTTTTTAGTTCTTATAAATGAATACTAAATGAAAGTTCCAAACTACTGTTGGAATGGAACTCATATTATTATTTTCTTGAGACTATTTAAAGATGCATATTGTTCTGTAACAAGTGAGTCATTATATATACTGCACATTGTTTGAAGTCTTGTTAGATAAACATTATTTGTAAATAATAATGCTATATATAAAGCAATAGATAGATAGTTGTGGAGTTAGTACTAAAGAATGGCTGAACGATACTGGATAATTATTAAAATAGTAAAAGTTGTACATAAATATGAACATTATGGAAATATTAATACCTTAGCCAATTCATATCACATATCCTGTCCAAAGGTTTTATCAATTTTTCATCTATAACTAAATTCTTTTGACCCTTGACAGAGTCTAATATTTGTTTTAATTTAACTTTTGATATTTGACTTAAGGCGTACAGCTTTTTGTTTAAATTATCTTCCATTGTAACCAAACTTAAATACACATTATTTATAAAAATTATATTATATTAACACAGTATAATATACATAAGAAATATTTATTAAGTATAATATTTAATATACAAATATGATATTTAATTATTATAATATGTGGTGTCTTATATTTATATTTACAAAATATACTTTAATATTATAAACAGTTCAAACGTCAAAGTTTTGACAGTTATTTGATTTATGTCAAATTATTTTGACGTTTGCATAGTGTTGCCATTGTTGAAATATAAGATATGGCGACTGTTAAGATTTAGCGGCAAATTCAGTTTGAATTTCGGAAAAAACAATGATATAAGAAATACAAATAATATCAAAATATAATTATATATTATTAAGAATAATATACTTATATATATAGCTTATAGGTTCCAAATGTTATTTCTAAATATTATATATCTGCAAATGCAATATAATACCCTGGATATAATAATAAATAGTAGGCTTTATGATATCATACACTTGAAATAATTTTAAATTTGTAATTCAGTACAAATAATTGTACTATATATGAGATAAGGTCTTCTAATACATGGTGAAATATAAGATTTTGTTTATTTACTTTTTTACATACAAGATTTTAATATATTTGTATGTCAATGTTTAATTTATAAGCTCTTATATTTTCTCGATAAAATAGGAATAATATAAATATTTATAATATCCATTTAAAACAATTCTTATTAATATTGATTAATATTAATTTTGTATTAACTTAATTTTATATAAAAAACTAGTTGGAAATAATAATTGTAATAAAATAGAAAGGGCTGTCTATTGGCCAACAATTTAATACATCAATTCAATTTATTTATTTTATAAAAAAAAAACTCTACTGACGAACAAATTACCAAAATTGTTTAGGACTTAATTAATATTTAATTTAAACATCTAATTTTAGAAAAAAGGACTCTACAGGCAATTGTTCTATTTTACACAAAAAGGACTCTACTGACGACCAAATTAATGTACTAATTTAATTATTCTATTCTACAAAAAAGGACTCTAATGACTACCAAATTAATATACTAATTTTTTTGTTCTATTTTACAAAAAAGGACTCTACTGACAACCAATTTAATACACTAGATTAATTTTATTATTTTACAAAAAAGGACTCTACTAATGACAAATTTAATATTCTAATTTAATTGATCTATTTTACATAAGTCCTTTTAAAAGGACTTTACTGACGATCAAATGAATACTAATGAATACTAATACTAATAATTAGTTAAGAGCAATAATAATAATTGCTAATTTAATTATTCTATTCAGCAAAAAAGAACTCTACTGATGACCAACTTAATATTCTAATTCAATTGTTCTACTCTACAAAAAAGGACTTTACTGACGATCAAATTAATGTACTGATTTATTTGTTCTATTTTACAAGAAAGGACTCTACTGACGACCACCTTAAAATAATATGAAAAAAGAGTGCGCGTAAAGTTCACACGCGATTGAAGTAAAACTTTTTTGCTATTGTACGAGATTGCATTTAAGGTAAAAATAGATACATCGTATAACAATTTTGAATTTAATTGGCGGTTTTGGAAATTGATTAGTTTAATAAATATAATGTCTCATTCTTTGAGCAGCTGTAATGTTGCCTATAAAAATATTTTCCATTTTTTTAACTTCAAAGATTAATAAAAACAATTAATAAAAACAATCAATATATCTATTTAAGTCAAATAAAGCAAATTTTCAAATTAAAAATTATTAAAATTTAAAACTACGATATAGAAATAAAACGAATAGAATATAGAAATTATTTCAATAAATTTAAATGAAGAATTATTATTTTCACTATTTTTATGTGAGACGGGGTAAAATATTCTTCTGATTAAGGCCTTTTTTTATTAAATAAAGATTTATGCTACGATGTAACCTTAAAATTTAATGACATTCCGAACAACAATCAAATACCCTCGCACAAAAAACTACGACCAATCACAATCGATCCGTATAGACTCGGCCGTAACGCTCTTCCGTTGCATTTTCACAGATTTACTCCCTAGTCGCGCTTAAAGAAGTTTTACTTAAATAATAAATAATAGTTGGTACATAAATTTGCCTTAAGGCACAATGCAATGCACAACTAGATAGTGAAACAAAATGTACCAAACAATTTATTTACAGAAAATATTTTTAAAAAAATATACAAGTTATGAATTAGCAAACTATATTATATTACTGTATAAAGCCGATTGGCGTATAAATAAATAAATAAATAAATAACACACTAAAATATCTGTTAATTACATTTTTCTAAATATTGAGCTATTATTGAGCTTCGTGATATACAACAAATAATTTTATACCTCCGGTGAAAGTTGCATGAGTCATTTCTTATTTATTGCAAACATAAAAGCTATTATTTCATCATGTAAATAATTCCACGCAGTCGATGCCAACGCATTATATTTACAAAGACGACAATTCTAAACATACTTATTTTGTTTAATAAATACGACATTGTTTTTAATTCCTGTTAATTAATTGTTTGAATTTGAACATAACTTGGCACAGATAAGTACAATGAGTACCATATTTACAGTAATTCGTCCGTTACCACATTTACCCCGTTTCTATTAACGGCCGCCGCGGCGCCGCCGTCGCCGTTACGTGTCTCTGCCTTCTACGTGGCAGAGGCGTCGCGTCGCACGTCTTCCGTTGCTCACTTCGGTGCCTCTGTCTGTACCACGTCCGCCATTTTGACATACTGCAGACTACGTATACAGTGGTTAATAGAATAGATTTTATTGTGTTCGTTTCTTATCAAGAAACATAGTTTTACTTTAAAAAGTAAGTGCCAAAAATAATAAATCATCATACTATTATTAACCAGTGCGGTTTAGCGTTTACCACGTAACAATTTAATCCGACCATTTGGGGTGTTGACCTTTTCGGCTCGTAATTGTAAGAGAGTTACGGGTGCTTTTGAGGGTTTTACGTGCCCCCCGGCTGTAATAAGGTTGTATTGTGTGTTTTTTAATTGTTTTGAGAGGCTGGATGATGGTTTTGGAGATATAGAAATGTATATGTCACATTGTGGTGATTGATTAATCATCGTTCACGTATTCAGTTTGAATCATAGATTTATAATTGATTTCTGATTCAGATATTGTATGTTAAGTCGATTGTTAACTAATTTGATGGAGATATTTGTCTCGTTTTGATTTTACATGAATTAGCACTTTTCTATTGTGCTGTTTTGTACTTACATACGTTACAGGTGCCAAATTTATTATTGCAAAGTGCATTTGAGATATATATTTATAGATATGTCTATTTGTCATTCAAATATTGAACAAATTTTAAGCTGATACAAATTATACTCACTGAAATATATAGTATCGATGAATGCAGTTTTTATATGTAGTCTTCGAATAGAAGACAGTGGTCGGGGATCTGGGGTAAAAATGAAATTTTTGTTCTTTAAAGAGTATGTATTTGTAATTGATATTTGTTACTTAGTGGACCGTAGAGAGGTACATAATAGATAAATTACTCTCTCTAATCTCTCTTTTTTTGCATTATATGAACAAAATCTTCTATGGTAATGATTAAAAATGTTCCCCGACTGCTGCTCTTTGTCATAGTTCGAATACATAATACATTTGTTAAAGAAAAATCTTTAAATTCACATTGAATGCAAGTTCTCGAAGAAGTATATATTTATATTATATTTAAAACAAATCTTGGAAGGCGTAAAATGAAGCAAAAGTATAGAAATTTTTAAATACAGATTCTGATATGATTGTGTACTATTGCTATGATACACTTGTTTTTTCTATATTGTTCATATATGGAACAAATTGAATATTATGTGTTCATCGATTTATAAGTAAAGTGAGTAAGTCTTTTTACTTAAATCGGCATTTCTTTTGTACTTTCTTGAAGGTGCCTAAGAACTTAAGTATAACTAAACCTACTTTTATTTTCTTATACATTGCACTTTTTTTATGCTAATAATTTTATAATACTTTAACAGCATATTTATATTTTTAATCCCTTCGTATAATTTTTTTTATTTATAGATGAGTAAAGCGACTAAGACACTCAAGTGCAGTTAATATTATAATTCTTTTGCATCATGTTTATATTTTTAAACCCTGCGTATCCTTTTCTTTTATATATGGATGAGTAAAGCGACTGAGATACTCAAATACATTTATTTTTTAAGCTTTTTATTAATATTATAATTCTTTGCAGAATGTTTTAAATTAATAAAATTTATTAAACTAGATGTCTATACAAACTTTTTCCAAAATTATATCTTTATGTTATTATATTATCATTATAATTTTTTACTTATGTCTTAAATCAATGTTTATGGTCCAATTCTACCGCATAACAGTAAAATGTTATGGCAAGGCTATTATTTTCATACCAAATATTGACAAAAGTCAAAGCATTTGCAGTCAGGCATATTTCTCAGATTGTCACAGAGAAAACCTAACCTAGAAACCGCAAAATTTTTAAAAAAACTATGTTAGATAACATGGTCTTTCTGACTCGGGTTCATAACATACGAGCGACGTTGCAGTTTATTTGTAAAACACCTGAATGCAAATACATGACATTTTGACAGTATTCAGTATGATTCAGTAGCATGATGTATGACAGTTGGAGTTATACCGCGACGCGGCGCCCACGCGCTTCTATATTTCGTTTCTGCGCAGCTAACGTATCGCGTTTGTTTAAAAAAAAAAGTTTAAAATATGTCGAAGTATAAAGAATTCAAATTTTTTAAAAAGGTGATTTTTTTCCCAAAAATTTAAAAAATCTCAAGTACTAAAATATGGAATCATTTTTAAAAACTTTAATTTTTGAAGTTCCAGCAATTTGCCTTAAGGCACGATGCCATGCACCACTAGTCCTTCTTTAAATTGCATTTTTAAGATAAGTCCAACATATTTTATCCAAACTCGATTTCTATTTTCTGCACTCTTTGCTCCGTATCTCCGTAATGGCTGGACCTGCCTTTGCCAAAAACTAATCAGCTCATGTTTTTTGAATTACTCAAATCGGTTGATCCGTGCGCCCGAAAACGTGGACGAAAAATTGTATCCGCACATACATACACACATCCATTTTTTCTGAGGTATACCAAAATGTTCAGAAACCTCTGAAACACGAAGAAATGTAAAAAATTTCATTTTCGATTTTCGGCTCATTACTATAACTTAGCCTACAGAAAGTTAAAAAACGAAACTAAAAGTTTCATGTTCTATTTCCGCACGCACAGCTCGATATCAAGCAGTAGTAATATTAGTTTTGACTTGAAAATGGAGATTTAAAGTATGATTCTAAATGAAACTTCTATTTTTAAGCATTGCTGCAATTTGAATACTAAAAAATTCGATAGCAAAGGTTTCAGGTTATTCTTATGCTTGGGCAGCTTGATATCAAGCAGTAGTAATATAAGTTTTTATTTGGAAATAGAAACCTATAATATGATTTTAAATGAAAATATCAATTTTAAACACTGCTGTAATTAAAATATTTGAAAAATCGAAAACAAAGGTTTCAGGTTATATTTCCGCTTGGGCGGCTTGATATCAAGCAGTAGTAATATAAGTTTTTATTTGGAAATAGAAACCTATAATATGATTTTAAATGAAAATATCAATTTTAAACACTGCTGTAATTAAAATATTTGAAAAATCGAAAACAAAGGTTTCTGGTTATATTTCCGCTTGGACGGCTTGATATCAAGCAGTAGTGTAAACAATTTTTACTTAAAAATAGAAATCTTGGACTTGGAAATGGAAATCTTAAATATGATGTTAAATGAAAATATCAATTTTAGGCACTGCTACAATTTGAATATTTAAAAAATCGAAAACAAAGGTTTCTGGTTATATTTTTGTTTGGACGGCTTGATATCGAGCAGTAGGAAAAAAATTTACTTGGAAATAGAGATCTCTAACTGATTTTAAGTGAAAATAGTATTTTGAAGCATTACTGTAATCTGAATAGTAAAAAAACAAATAATGATATTAAAATTTAAAGTTTAGCAAAAACTAGATAAAATTCAATATGTATATATATATATATATATATATATATATATACCATCTAAATATTTTATAAACACATTTACTATTATATTTCATACAATCTTTATTATATATTTGAATGAGTTCATCATTTATCTAATTCGTTTTTCTTTTTTTTTTTCTAGTTGTCCCCTAAAATTTGGTCACCATGGGGAATATGTTTGCTAATTTGTTCAAAGGCCTCTTCGGCAAAAAGGAAATGAGAATACTGATGGTAGGATTAGACGCAGCTGGTAAAACCACCATTCTGTACAAACTAAAATTGGGCGAAATAGTAACAACAATTCCAACAATAGGTAAAAGAAAAACATTAATAATCAACACCAGTAATAATTATAATATTTCTTTTACATTTTTTCTTTTTCTCTAGGATTTAATGTGGAGACTGTCGAATATAAAAATATAAGTTTCACTGTATGGGATGTGGGCGGTCAGGACAAGATTAGGCCTTTGTGGAGGCACTACTTCCAGAACACGCAAGGCCTGATATTTGTTGTCGACAGTAACGATAGGGAGCGTATAGGTGAAGCGAGGGAAGAACTCATGAGGATGTTAGCAGAAGACGAACTGAGGGATGCGGTGCTGCTGATATTCGCAAACAAACAGGTAAAGGATAATAATGGAAATATATATATTTATATATATATATATTTATATATATATATATATATATATGATAAAATTGTTCTTGGGCATCCATCCAGTAATTAAAAACAGTTTTATTGAAAGAAAATGTTTTTATTAAGAAAACATACGTTTCGGGTCTTGATTTGACCCATCTTCAGTGCTACAATTAAATATTGCAGGGTTACAATTTAAAACAATATAAAAAATACATAATTACAGAAAAATATAAATAAAAACATGTAAAAAAACATAAATCTAATCAATTTAATAAATTTGTTTTATAACTAATATATATTGTGAAAGTATATAAAAATGAAAAACAAACATAGACATAAACAAATGTAAAGAAATATATATATATATATATATATATATATATATATATATATATACTAGATGACCCGACAAACTTTCCAATTATTTCTACAATATTACTGTAGTTTTATTGTTCATTACATTTCCCTCAACAAACTTCAGAAAGAGATTTATCAAAATCCTAATATATTTTTAGGAGGAGAATATTTTCATACATCATTACAGAAGAATTTTATATATGATATATATATTTTATATAATAATGCCATAATTTTCAATACATTGATTTGTTTTAATTTTTCAACAATTAATACAACAGAATTAAACAACTAGTATTGTTGTGTAGATGTTTAATTATAACGTTTTGGAAATAAATATGTGTTATCAGATTTTTCTGCAATATTGATCTATAAATCATTTTTAAGTCATTTTTATTTACTTCAACTATAGAGGAATTTTTGGAAATTTTAACTTTACATTTTTACTTGCTTGTAATTACTTTTTACAAACTTATTTTATTAACATACTGAATTTTTTTCTCACTTTTATTTGTTACAAACGTTTTGAGACTAGGTTTACATCATATTTAGTGCAATAAAAATTGTTAAATTGAATTCAATATGATCACGTTTTTGTAATATAATAGATATAAACATTCAAAATTAAATATTTTGTTTCAAAGTATTTTTTTCTCACATTTTCTTCATGCTTGAAAATTATAAATTTATTAAAGTGTTACCTCAGCTAATTTATAAATAATTAATTTCTAATTTTAACCAGTTTTATAATTCTATTCTAAGATTGTTTTATAAATTTAAATACGTCCAAAAGTTTATTTATTGCATTTTTGCATAATCAGTGTTATAGTTTACAACCATAAAAACTATTTTTAATTTGTAGTTTTATGATTTTATAATTCAAACTTATAGTTAATGTATTAGTTTTAGCCTAAGAATCAGCCAGTTCTTGTTTACATAATTGTTAATATAAAAAAAAACATTACTTAATCTAAAAGAAGATTCTTAGAGCTATATTGAACTTAAAATATTATAGGCCTGAGAAAAGTGGTATAATTCTAGTCCTTAAAGTTTATAATAATGGGACCTACCCTTCGTTTTTTTGTCTGATTTTTTTTCAATTGTGTTGAACTAATTGTTGAATTTAACAAGAAGTTATAAATTAATATATTGACTTTATATTGATTAAGTCATTGATGGTGTACATGTATCGAGAAGTTTACACTTACTATTATTTTGTTACTATTTTTATAATTACTTTTAGTAATTCTTTATAATATATATATATATATATATATATATATAAATTAATTAACTTCTTTAGTTAATTTTTATATATATTTCTACGTTTAAAAGCCTTCTGAATATTTTGGCATACATTTAAAAAAAATGTTTGTATGTGCGGATACAAATTTTCGTCGACATTCAGAAAACTTTCGATTCCTATTGAAGGGGAGACGTGCTTATTAGTTTTTGGCAGAAGTAAGTTTAGCCATTTTAGAGTTACGAGGCAAAAAGTGACAAAAATAGTATTTTTGTTTTTGAGAGAACGGAGCATCCGATTTGAATAATTCAAAAAAACATTCCACTTGTATTGACAAAATAAAGAGTTTATTGAAATTTTGAGGAGGCAGGTTTGGCGGTTTCGGAGATCAAGCAAAAAAAGTAAAAAAAAGCCATTTGGCGGTCAAAAAGAATTATTAGACATATGTACATTAAATTATCAGAAATTTATAGAGATTTTAACAATAAGTATACATTTTGTTTGCATTCCTATGGGTTCCGTACAAAAGTTTATCCGTTAGACGGAGACGCGGCGCTTACGCGCTTCAATATTTTGTCTCCATGTAGTTAAAGCAGTACGATTGTTTTGAAAAAAAGTTCAGAATTTCCAAAATGTATAAAGAAAACATTTTTTTCAAAGTCTTTTTTCCAAAACAATAATTTTTTTTTCAAATATTTATAGTTTCTCAAAAATCTAATTATTTAAAGTAAAATTTTTGCAAAAATGTTAATCTTCTAAAAGAAAAGGTGATAGAAATATAATTTTGGTTTAAAAATTCAAAAAATTACCCAGGCTAAGCGCAGTCTAAGCGCCACTCTGGTACAAATGTTCACCCGAGTGTGTTTAGACTATTTATGTATTGGAGCACTTTTCCAATTTTGTGAGTAAACTATTGAAAAATGTAAAAATGCCGCCGAGCTAAGCACAGTATAAATGAAAATGTCGTACCGAATTATTTGCAAATGTGTTTAGGCTGTGACTGTACCGGAGCACTTTTTCAATTTTGTGTAAGGCAATTAGGCAACTTTTTTTTTTTTTTTTTTTAAATTGAATTCGAAATGAAATGACGATTGTTAATGTTCTTTAGATAAATTGATTTCAAATGATTTACATTTGATTTGCTCAGATATAACAAAAGATAGCAAAAATAATGAAAGTTAATACAGTATTTGTAATAATATTTTTGAAATCGTTTAAAATTTCTCGAATATTTCATTACGGTACGGGAAGTTCCAGCAATTTGCCTTAAAGCACGATGCCATACGCCACTAGTTTTAATGTTGATTGATTCGCGATCCAGAAGCAAGAGAATTTATTTTACATATTTTTTACATTAACAAGAATTTAAAATGACGTATACATAGTTATAGTGGGGAAAAGCGATACTGACAGTAGTGGCGCGATATTTGAATTATAAAATACATTTTGCATTACATATATAAAATTTAGTAATATAATTTTATCCACATGGCCTTGCCATAACATTTGTCTTTTATGCGCCAGAATCGGTCCCTATGCGTGATGAGCATATATTTATTATTTTAGTTGTGTTCTAATTTATCTCATGTTTCTTATTATATATTTTTCACAACATATTTGAGATTTTGTTGAAAATGTTTTTTCAATGCGTGTATTTTGTTCGCATTTCATTTAGTCAAATTAAACTACCAGGTCACCCAAACATTTATTTAAAAGAGATAAGCGAGGAATATCCGACACGCAGATTGAAAAAAAAAATGGCCATACGACCTTAAATAAATGTCAAAAATGAAAATATAGAAGAGAGATATCTCAAAGGAGATAATCTCTTATATGCATTAACACCAACATCATATTGTCTTAAAAAATGTATTTAATTTTGATTGACAATAAAAGTATGCAAAAAAAAAAAAATAGTCAAATTAATCAGGTTTATTTTTTCTATATTAAATATTTATATAAATCTTATCTTAGATTTGAATCTAAGGGTAAATTTTACGTGCTACGATTGGTGGCGACCTCTGTGATATGCTGAAAGAATTAAAATTGATGTAGTTTCAAAGCGGCCGCTTTTGAAATCTATTCATATTTATGGTTATATTATAATGTATCTCATGTGATTATTATCCTTTCTCCCCCAGGATCTGCCAAATGCAATGAACGCCGCCGAGATAACGGATAAGCTCGGCCTGCACTCCTTAAGGAATCGAAACTGGTACATCCAGGCGACGTGCGCCACCAGCGGCGACGGACTCTACGAGGGCCTCGACTGGCTCTCGAATCAGCTCAAGAACGCCAATCGCTAGTAACATTATTAACAATTAATTAAGAGTAAAGAGCATTTTTGCAAATAACAAAACAACAAACTAAAAAATATATATAATTGCAACAAATACACGAGGTAATAGACACAGGATCGATCCGTTATTGTGAGGTTTCTCTCTGATCTCTCCAGTAAGTGACTAATCTTTATATTGTACAGTTTCTCTCCTCTATGGTAGTAAAACAACCAACGAATTTTCGATGTTTTCATTTCTCTGGACGACAAAGAAGACCTTCTACACAATTTGGCAAGAATCATTGTAGTATTTTTTATTATGAAACAACAAAGTGGTTCTTGTTGAATGTACTTAAACTAAAACAACGATTTTGATTTGATCTTTTTAATACAGGCATGTTTTGTCAACAGTCGTTTTTATTTGATTTCGCGCGAAAACTAGTGTTAAACCAAATTTATTGAGTTTTGGCATTTTTATACGGTATTGTTGCTGAAACAAAAGCTTTTTGTATTACAGCTAGTATTCAAATTTCATAAACCATTCCAAATATGCTTTCTTTATTTAGATTTATTACATTTATTACTATTAAACATTTATTGATTACACTTTGATGTTACTTTTACTGCTACTAGCTAAATATTAGGTTGTCAAATATCTCCCTTCCGCTTTTTTGCTCTTGGTTTATAATACAAAAAGGCGGAAGGGAGATATTTGACAACCTAATATTTATATTTATATTTATATTTATATTTATAAATATTAGGTTGTCAAATATCTCCCTTCCGCCTTTTTGTATTATAAACCTATGAGCAAAAAGGCGGAAGGGTGATATTTGACAACCTAATATTTATAAATATAAATATAAATATGAATATGAATATAAATATAAATATTAGGTTGTCAAATATCTCCCTTCCGCTTTTTTGCTCATGTTTATAATACAAAAAGGCGGAAGGGAGATATTTGACAACCCATTATATGATGAATTATGCGTATGTCTATCAAAAGTGTTTGTTGATGATGAAGATCTTTGGTTTTATGATTTCTTCCTTCATTTGTTTGTGTAATTCTTTAGGCTAATTATGGAAACATGTGTTTAACTATATACGTTTTAATTTTAACTAGTGTAATTATTGTGAGCATTAAGGAAAGTATATACGTTAGTTGAAATGTCTCTTTATATTATATATATTTACGAAAGGCCTTTAAATATATTTAATATATGAAAGATGATTTGGAAAAATTTGATACGTTTTGATTTATCCACAACCAAGGAACCAACTAACCAACCCCTCTTACCACCTTTTTTCAGAATTGTTATAAATTTTTTTCAGTGAAAAGTGATAATACACTTGGGTACTATTAAATGCTACATCTTTGTGTGAATGAGTAAATAGTATGAGAGTTACTTAGTCAATATACTATAAGCGGAGCAAATTGATAACACACTATAAATGAAAATCCAAAGTGAAAGTTAAAGTGTTCAGTGTTTGTGTTCATTTCAACTACAAGTTATTCAAAATTTCATTATGCAAGTTCTTGACAAGAGCTTGAAATAATATCTATTATTATTGATTACGGCTTGCTTATGAATAAATAAATAAATAAATAGTATATAACAAGTTTTATGAGATTTTAGTAAATTTTATCTACTTTTTACTGATGTAAGCAAATTATATTGTCCAGAATGAAAATTAAGTTATTTGAAGAAAAGTGAAAAAAATGTTCTATATTCATATGCATATTGTAAATTATGGAGAGACTAAAGTCTGCATTTCAACTCAATGCGAAGTCAAACGAATTATTCGAAATTTCAATATCAAAGTGTATGTAACAATTTTACTAGATTTTAGTAAATTTTATCTAGTTTTTACTGTCGTAAACAAATTATGATGTCCGAAAAGAAAATTAAAAGTTATTTGAAGAAAAGTAAAAAATGTCCTGAATATATGGATATTGCATTATGAAAATACTAAAGTCTGCATTTCAACTATGATTTATTGAAAATTTCACAATGCAAGAGTATATAACAATTTTTACTGAACTTTGTCTGGTTTTTATTGATGCAAGCAAATTATAATGTTCAGAAAGAAAATTAAAAGTTATTGAAGAAACGTCCTAAATCCATATACGTATTGCAAATTATGGGAGAAGATTTTACTGATGTAAACAAATTATCATGTCCAAAATGAATATCAAGAGTTATTTGAAGAAATGTAAAAAATGTCCTAAATTCATATATACGTATTGCAAATTATGGAAATACTGAATTCTGCATCTCAACTACGAGTTATTCAAAATTTTAACCAGTTTTACTAGATTTAAGTAAATTTTATCTAGTATTTAATAACATAAACAAATTATAATGTCCTAGAGAAAATTTTAAAGTTATTTGAAGAAAAGTAAAAAATGTCTTAAATCCAAATATGTGTTGCAAATTATGGATGTACTAAAGTCTGCATTTCAACCACGGTTTATCCAAAATTTCAATATGCAAAAGTATATAACAAGTTTTACTAGTTTTTAGTAAATCTTATCTAGTTTTTGCTGATTTAAACAAATTAAAAATGTAGTAAGAACTGTTTCATACATTTTGCTATTGAAATTTAAATAATTCGTAGTTGAAATGCGGACTTCAGTATTTTGTTACATTGCATTATATGGATTTAGGACATTTTTCTAGTTTTCTTGAAATAACTTTTAATTTTTCTTTGGGACACTATAATTTGTTTACGTTAGTAAAAACTAGATAAAATTTACTAAAATCCAGTAAAACCTGTTATATACACTTGGATATTAAAATTTTGAATAAATCGTACGGTTTATTTGAAATTTCAATATGCAAGTGTATAAAACAGTTTGTACTATATTTTACTAAATTTTATCTAGATTTTGAATTCCTCCCCTCCCCTTTCCCCTTGGTGATACATCGTGATATTTAAAAATATTTTTAGTAAAATTTTTCGAACGAATTTACGAAAAAATCCTAATTTTTTTTTATTTGGAAAATTAGGCAAAAAATAAATACACGTGACATTTTACTAGACTCCTTCATTCCACGTGATTTTTTGCGATTTTTGTCAAACTTTTCCTATCCCTAAAAGCCTCAAGTGATTAATGGGCGTCTCCTAATCCTTTTCCTTTTGTCCTCGTCAAACATTACTTTATGGGGGGAGGCTCTAGAATTCTATGACTAAGCCGAAGTGTTAATAAGTAAATGGTAAAGTAAAGTTTAAGTGAGTAGTTAAGTTGAAGGGTAAGTGAGTTGGTTAATCGATTATGGTAAGAATTAAAAAAAACCCTCTGTAGTTAATAGTGAAAAAGTTCTGGAAAGTTCAATCTTAGTCCAGTCATTTAAGCTTAAAGAAGAAAGAAATTCTTACCTAAGCACAGTATAAGTGAGAATGTCGCACAGAATTGTTTGCAAATGCGTTTAGACTGTGACTATACTGGAGCAGATTTTTCAATTTTGTGTAAATTAAAGGCAACTATTTTTTTTTTTTTGAAATTGTATTCGAAATGAAATGACGATTGTTAATGTCCTTGGAGATAAATTGGTTTATGATTTACATTTGATTTGCTCAGATATAACAAACAAGATAGTAAAAATAATGAAAGTTACAGTATTTGTAATAATATATTTGAAAACATAAAATTTTCAAATTGTCTAAAATTTCTCGAATATTTCTTACTAAGAATCTCGGAATTCGAGATACCCAGCTGTGGGTCTGTAACTACTTGTATATTGACACCCTTAAAGTTGTCTCAAAACCTACATTTGGTACGTACACTCTACCATATGTAGGTATTGAGACAACTATCAGGATGCAAAATACAAGTATTTACAGACTTACAGCTGAGTATCTCTAATTCTGAGGTGAACTTATTATAATGACTGGACTATCTTATAATATTTATGATGGAGAATAATTGTCGTAATGATCGTACATTATTAAAATTGTATTACAGCCCTACGACAGGTGGTTTAATTTAAAAAATAACTAGTGGTGTATGGCATCGTGCCTTAAGGCAAATTGCTGGAACTTTCCGTACCATGATGAAATATTCGAGAAATTGTAAACGTTTTCAAATATATTATTACAAATACTGTGTAACTTTCATTATTTTTGCTAACTTTTTGTTATATCTTAACAAATCAAATGTAAATCATAAAGAAATCAATTTATCTCCTATCATCTATTAACAATCGTCATTTCATTTCGAATTCAATTTCAAAAAAAAAATAGTTGCCTAATAATAATTATTAATTTGCACAAAATTGAAAAAGTGCTCCCGTATAGTCACAGTCTAAACGCATTTGTAAATAATTCTGTGCGACACTTTCACTTGTACTGTGCTTAGCTTGGCGGCATTTTCACATTTTTCAATAGTTTTCATAAAATTGGAAAAGTTCTCCAGTTTGAAATTGAATAATAAATAATAAATTTGAAAAATAAATAATAAATTTGAAACAGTCTAAACGCACTTGGGTAAACATTTGTACCAGAGTGGCGCTTAGACTGTGCTTAGCCTGGGTAATTTTTTCAATTTTTTAATCCAAAATTACAAAAATATTTTATAGAAAATAAAAATAATTTTTTATCCTCAGAAGCAATTGTTTTGTCAAAACAAGTATCAATTTTTTCTGAGGTATGGCCCTTAAAAATGTTCAGAAACCTATAAAACGTCGAGAAATGCAAAAATTTTCAATTTAGATTTTTGGACGATTACAATATCTTATCCTACGGGAAGTTAAAAATGCACGTGACGTTTGGGGGGAGAGGGTTCCAAAAATCCACAAAAATCGATCACGTGATCAATGGATGGCTCCTTAGTTAATTTTTAGGATAGTGATTAATAGTTGTAAAGAACATGCTAAAATGTTATTACTTTTTGATGAAAAGTGCTTTAATTAACTTCCCGTAGGGCAAGTTATAGTAATCGCAAAAAAATCGAAAATGAAAATTTTTATATATCTTTACGTTTCAAAGGTTTCTGAACATTTTGGCATACCTTAGAAAAAATGGATGTATGTGTGTGTGT